AAGTAGAAACCCTTTAAACAAAAAGCAAATTAAGCATCAATAAAATCATCATCAGATGGCTATTTTGATCTTTTTCTTTCTTTTTCTTTGAGCTCCACCTTTTTCGATAATTCTGATATTTTCCTTGGTTACAACTCAGTCAATAACCAAAAATGTATTCAATATAATTTACTTGATAATAGTATTTCGTTCATTTCAGTTAACCATTTTGAGTGCACACTATATATTGCCATGAGAATTTAAGCACCAAGTAAATAATGACTAATACTTAGGAGTGAGTCATGTTTTTAGTAAGTAACTACATATGGGGGGAAGCACTGTTAGGAAGGCGATGAGGAGTAAAAATTCTATCAGAACATTCTGTTGTAAGATGTGATCTATACCATTCACGCGTGTTTAGAGGGTTAGTCTGGGAAGTACAACTCATTTATTAATGGTATAGATCATGATGATCATCCCACTCGGGCCATTCCTAAAGGATGGTTCTGATAAGATCTATACTGTAATGATCGTGAACTTTCGATACTAGGTAAAATAATTTTTTGGTATTTTAATATATTTAATTATTATTTTTAAAAGAGTATTTGTATTTTTCTCGATTTTCTAGAATTTTCTAAGATTTAAAAGTCCAAATTTTATATTTTTTAAATGATTTTGATATTTATAAATTAACTTAGTGCAGTAAAAACTTTTTAATTAATCTGTTGTGTCATCGTTACTATTATGTATTATTTTGTATAATCCGTTGTGCTATTATTACTATTACGTTTTATTTTGTATAATCCGTTGTGTGATTATTATTACTATTACTTTTTATTTTGTATAATCCGTTGTGTGATTATTATCACTATTACGTATCATTTTGTATAAACTGTTGTGTTATTACTACTATTGCGTATAGTCTGTTGTATTAATACAACTAGTACGTATTATTTTGTAGATAATTTTTTCATAATTATTTAATTTTATACGTAATTAATTATATTTTTTATTAATTATTTTTGTTAATTATTCCCTAACCCTAACCCTTTATATTTTCTCCCCCTCTCTCTTTTTCGTTTCAACCACCCCCACAGCCTTTCTTCTTCTCTTTCTCTCGTTTTCTCTTTCTTCTCTCGTTCTTCCCAAACCACGCAGTCGCCCCTCCTCCGCCTTCCCTCACCATCTTCGCCCCCATCGACGCATAGACCCTGCTCCGCCAGCCGAAGCCAGGCCACCCCGGCGACTTCCCTCCTCCACCGCTCCTCCTGCAGTAGAGCCCTACCGCCGTCGCGTATCGGACCCTGCAACCCACGCTCTACGTGACAGCCCGGCAATTCTCTGCAGCAGCCCCTTACCGCCCTCAGTCGTCTCCTCCCCCTCCTCTACCTGCTGTCCCTCAGCCCCGCCTTCACAGTCACCTCCCGAGACCCCCTCCACAAGCTCAGCCCGTCGCCCTCCTCTGCCTCTCCTTCACGCCGCTCGAACTCTAACCCAGAGCTCCGATCGCCGTCAACTCCAGATCCACCCCGCGGACTCGTACGTCAACGTCGAATCGTTTAACAATATCCCAAGGCAAGATCCCACTTGCTCAGATCTGAATTTTTGTATTTATTATGAATTATCTGTAATTTTAGATCTGTTAATAATTATTTGTGTGGGCTTGTTGATGAAATTGTGAATTATCTGCTTATATTAATTTGTGATTAAATAAATCATAATTATGTGATAAATAGTAGTTTCAGAATAATTATAATAGATTAAAGAATTTATTTTAACAACGGGGTTATTTTAGAATAATGATAAATTTTTTAATTTATTTTGTGGAAGAAAATCATTTTAGAATGATAAATATTTAAAAAAAAATTATTTTGGGAAAATAGACTATTTGGAATTAATGAGAATTTATCTTGTAAAAAGATTATTTTGAATTTATGAATTTATTATTTTAAGAGATTATTTTTAGAATAATTATAGTGAGAGATAATTTGAAAGAAAATTATTTTGCAAAAGAATTTTTTATTTTGAATTAATTTAGTTTATGATCATATGAT